AGAAATTGCGCATACATGCATTGAATACTTCTTGAAATTGTGATGGTATCTCGCTCTTTGAAAGACAGGTCATAGTTGTATATCAATGAAAACTTTATATTTGTGTACATTTGATTTAATTTGAATAGACGAATGGCAGAGAATTATGAATTGGCTCCATTGGAAGCTGAATGGTGATTGCTTTGGAGTCGTGACTGTAGAGATGGACCAATAAGTCCTCGGCGCACCGTCCTTTGACACAGATAAATCCTAGAGGAGCTTGTGTCCGTCCGGTGACGGACATCGTCAAAGCAGGACCTTTTTTCAAATTCATCCTGTGCATACTTGATACTTTTCATTGTAAAACCTTTAAAATTGGTTGTCATTTGTATCAATCAGGTTCTTGATAGCCCTGATCAGCCTAGTTCTATTTACTGAAAAGGAGTCACCTCCTGCTTCAAAGGACCTTTTCAGCCCTGAATATATATTGCGATTCTATTGGACTAGGCTTTGAGTATCACCAAACATTCCATTATGGACTAGGTGAGTATGAGAATAAAATACATTCTTGATGCTTATTCTCTCCAGAAGTAATAAAAATAGAAAGTTGTAGCCTTTACTTCTAGATTGTTTGTGGTTTATTTATAATCGCCAAAACAGTATGAAACAGAAGATATGAAGATCAAGATGGTGTGGCCTCTCGTATGGTAGCAGTCTCCTTTCAATTTATAGAAGTGGGTCGACCTCGTTGTCGCAACTTAGTCTTGTTGTCAGGAAGACTTAGTAGAACACACCTATTCCGAAGTCGTCTGCCAGAGTAGTTGTAATAGTTCCCAGCATCAGACAGTGGATTTGGTACATTCACAAACGTTTCGCCGGCATGGTAGTCGGCATCATCAGTTTGTAGCTTGGTGCGGAGAATAGCAGCAATACGCTACCGGTGGGACGTTTGAGAATAAACCAAGTCCACTGTCTGATGCTGGGAATTAAGATAACTACTACGACAGAGGACTTCCAACTGTGTGCGCTTTATTAAGTCGCCCTGACAACAAGACCATGTTGCGACAACGAGGTTAACCCACAGTATGAAATAGACTTTACAATCTATCTCTGTATGGTGCATTGCAAAGTCCTCCTTAAATAAATATTCACCTCAACATACAAAATTATGAAGAGTAAATATTAGTCCAAGTCTGCACTTGCGAAGTCGTTCCAATGGCTTTCGTGTCACTGGTGTCTCGAACTGTCTCAGCTCCAATGTCTGATTGAAAGTCTAGTTGATTGCTTCTATCATATGGACACATTTATGCACCATTTCTTAATTATAATATATTTTAAAAGAAATTAAGGAAAGTATCTTTATCGCAATTCGGCTTTCTGTCAAACGCTTCTCAGGAATAGGGAAATTTCTCAATCACGTCGAGCTTTTGGTCGGCAGGATGCATGTAATTACTCGGACCTATTGGGCTGTTCTACTCTACATCATAGTTCCAGTTTGCTGCATTGCCATGTGCCTTACCGCCTTTATCAACGCAAAAGCTCCAGTCACAGAAACTGGTGAAAGATTTCCCATCTGGACAATTGGTTTTGGCTGGTCCATCGCGGCGCTCACGCTAATGCCAATACCCGGCTTTGCAATTTACGAGATCTACCAGTCCTATCCTGATTTTCGTGCGGTAAGTGTTTCTGTCCCCAGCTCATAGTGTGATTCTGATCGCTTACATGAGCACTCATAAACTCGCTTTCTTGCTTTGACAATGGGCTTACTTGCGATTGTTGCCTAGGAATTTCGAGTGAAATGACTAAGGAAAGTAAATGAATATTATTCTTGATTTTAGATAATTATTTCCTCCTGAGTACCCAACTAATAATATGAAGTATTAATATGTGAATTCCCCTTTAATTTGGTAGGGTAACTAATAATAAAATGGGAGTAGAAAGATTTGTTTTGTTTTCCTTACAATATAGAGTGCATGTAGGCACTACAGTTCTTTCTCCTGTTTTCTATCATATTGATTAAATCCTCTGAAATCCTTTGTTCTCAGTGTTCGGGGTAGCAAGATGAAGACCGGGTTTACTGGAAAAAACACCCAGAAAACTCCTTCAGTTTACCAAATAGGCCCATTTGACCATTTTATACTTCCAAAGAACAGATTCGAACAGCCTGTAAGGTGATAAACAGACTTTCAGTTCCATAATATCTCATGGAGGAAATAATGGCTCTCTGTCCCTAAATCAACACAGTTTAAATTGGCAAGCACGAGTAGATAGCGCGTATTCAATGAAATAAACGGAATGGAAATGTCTTCATATATTTAAAAAGCCACTAGAAACATCGTAGATTTATCCTTCTTTCGTCAGCTATAGCAAAATAAGTCACAGTGTCTATTAGGAGGATGGCTATAGACTACTATACGGTTGCAAACATTAATATTTTTGTCTCTTTTAGTTATTTCGAGCTGTAATGTGCTAATCTGCTATTACTATCTCAATAAAGCATTTCTAGAATAGCTCTCGTTAGTGCTTCAGTTTAATACTGCTTATGTAATTAATTAACTATAGCAATAAAGTGGAAAGGATCCATTCTGTAGTAATAATCGCAGTCGAGGGTAAATTCTGAAATGTTTCGAGTAATTCTCATATTGTTTCCTCTTGTTAGTGTTACATCCGCAACAGACGAAGAAAAGCATGCTTATTATCGAGGAACATGGAGCAAACTTTTGAAGATTAGGATATAAATGTATGCTTGAACCGAATAATTTCTAGTAAATGAGTTAACAAGAATAGAATTCATGAAATTCAATGAGTTTTGGGATTCGTCTTAACTACAAAAAGGTTTTACTAAGGAACCAGACTCTTTAAATTTTATTAATCAAATTTCTTGAAAATATATTTTACTCGATTTATGTCTTAGCGAAATCATTAAAAATAATTATCCTCTTAATATATATAACTAGATGAATAACAATTTTGTAGTTTGCAAACCTATAAAAATGCATGGCTATCTGAATAATTCTTCACGACGCTGGAAGGTATTTATGCGCAAACTGGAGGATTTAGATAAGGTGACCTTCGCTGTAGTTGTATTCCTCTTAATTGATGGAAGATGTAATCCAGAAAAAATATTCAAATTTCGCGGCAAAGGGCGAGACAAATTTTACAAAGTCCACAAAAACCTATGCAAGTATTGCTGAATCATGAAAAAAACTTTTCTTATCTGTTTTTTTTATTATAGCTCTTCCGTCCTAATATTTACTGGCTTTCGAAAGTCGAGGAGCGTTTTCCAAGCGAGAAAAGTCAAACAGAATTGACAAAATTTTAGCTATACTTTTCTGCTGTGAACCATTTATATGCATCTTGTATTAATTTATAAAACTGTTATTAGAAAATAGCTGAATAATTTATTCAAAATGGCCTTCATTTTCTTTTACTTATTAACATTTCATTGGTTAACTACTGAATCCAGAACATCCTCTCTTGTATGATAAACTATTTTACCAAATTTCCAAATGCCTCAAAAAAGGTAGTAGAAGAAAAATAAGAAATCTTTAGCTAATCAACTTTTACGCATTTATAATTTGGCATTAAAATGATCTAATATAAGAAAAGATGAATTTTAAATAATTACTA